GCAGAAAAATCTGGAGAATCCTCGTCAGAAGAAGACGAACTGTTCTTTCTATCCAGAAGAATCAATCAGCTGTGGAAGCACAGGCAGAAGAATTTCAGAAACTCCAGAAGAATAGGAAATGACTCTGAACAATCATCTGGATACAGAATATCAAGTATCATATTCATTACCTACTATGAATGCAATAAACAAAGTCACTACAAAAGTGATTGTCCAAGGCTTCAGAAGGAGAAACATAAAGGGGAGTTCGTTAAGGAGGAGAAGAAAAGTCTTATGGCAACATGGGATGACTCTGAATCTTCTGAAGACGGAACAGAATCAGAAGATGAACAAGCCAATATAGCTCAAACGGACAACTTATTAGATGCCTTAGAATCTTCTTAATCTGAATCAGGGTCGGAATCAGAATCAGACGCTGAAGAGGTATTTCCTGACTTTATTGTTAATTTTACTAAAGCTGAACAAGGAGAAAGTCTGGGTGAAATTTTGGAAAGGTATCAGCAGCTCATAATCAAATTCAAGAACCTGAAAAAGGATCTTGCTTCTGACTCTGAAGAAACTGAGAGTCTGAGATTAGAAAACTCTGAGTTAAAAGAAAAGATTTGAAAACTAGAAAATGATTTACAAAACTCTCAGAAGGAAATAATCTCAGAGGATCCCAGTAATGCTGATAAGATCATAAAGGAATCTGATCAAAGTTTTCAGAAGTTTCTGACTAAAAACATAGATAGAAGCAAAATGGCTTCAATGATCTATGGAGTTAGCAGGAATGGCAGAATAGGTATAGGATACAAAGATAAAGTATCCCAACCTAAGAAAGTTAAGGATCTGGTTATCAAACACACTCCTCTCTATTATCAATTCACCACTGGGCAAACACATGATATAAAACATGCTGGTAAGGCGTTTTATACTAAACCAAAATTCAATCAGAATTTTGGAAACTCTAACAGTCATGGACCCAGAAAGATATGGGTACCAAAAGACAAAATCATCTATGTTGCAAATATTTTTAACAACAAGGTTGAAACTCCAGTATTAACACCTGGACTCTGGATGCTCTCTACACATGGAGGAAAGAAAGCATATGTTCCAAAGCCTGGAATTTAAAAGATTCCCAGGTTTCAAAGGCAATCAAAAACAGAAGATTACTGGCTCTGAAACTATTTAAAACAGGAATGGAAATACAGCATCAGAAGCTCTCTAAAGAATCTCAAATGTATCTAGAAGAGGATGTCACACTATTTCAAGCACTTCTGTCAGAGCAAGCCAATCAGAGTCTTTACCACTTTTTGATTCTTGACAAAAAGGGGGAGAATGAAGAATATTTTGACTCATAATCAGAAGATCTTCAGGGAAGTATTTTATTTTCTCGTTAGCTGGGTACTCTACTCAGGGGGAGCCTTCCTTTTAATTTTTGTTCTTTATATTCCATCAAAATATACTAGTTTTTGTCATCATCAAAAAGGGGGAGATTGTTAGAACATAATTTGGTTCTACATCCCAGTAAGAGTTTTGATGATAACAAACACATGATATAAAGAACAAATATGCTCTCTAATAAAAGTATGTTTACATGCAGGATGTTCTGATGTTAAAAAGATGTTTCTGATGCAACTGGAAGTTCTGCTAGAACATCACCAGAAGTTTTGATTATGACATCCCATATGTTCTGATGTTAAAAAGATATTCTGATGCAACTGAAAGTTCTGCCAGAACATCACCAGAAGTTCTGATTATGCAAGCACAGAAGTTGAGAGGACAATGAAAGATTCAAACGCGTCAAATATGCATGACACGCTTATGTGAAGAAGTTCTGATTGAACTTCTGAATGCACCAGCGCTGCGAAACAAAATCTCGGATACTCTGGTGTGCAAAGTTCTGATCAAGCTGTAAAGAACTCTCAATGGTAATATTCATCCTCTGATGTGAGAAGCTATGAAGTGTTACAATTCCATCAATGCAAAATCATAAGTAACGACTACAAGCAGACAAGGATCTCCTGATTTGGAAAGCTCATCAACTCGTGTTATGGACTTACCAAAAGTATCTTCTTATGTCTCTATTGCAAGGCCTATATAAAGCAGACTATAGGAAGATTTCAGAATGATGAACAACTGCGCTCAAAAAGAAAAACTCACGTGAAAAAGTAAACAACGCATATTTCATTCTTCATCTTCAACGATTCAATATTAAACTGTGTAATACATCACAAGTTTGTGATATTGTTTATTTAGAAACATCATTGTACACTTTTATTCAATTAATTGTTTAGTGAAATTCCTTGAGAAAACCGGGTTATGGTTTTGGACTCAAGAAGACTTTAACAGTTGTTAAAGTAGAATTGTAACAGGATAAAAATATCGTGTCTATTGTGCTTTTGATTTCAAGTTTTCAATTCAACCCCCCCTTCTTGTGTTTTTCACTTCTTCAACATTATACATGGCTAGAGATCTCATTCTAACACATGTATATAATCATTTGCAACAATAATACATATAGCATAATTAAGACTCATTCCTAATGCAATGTCTATATGTCGATGCACATGATTCCAGAATATCAATCTCCTCGCTAAGAGTTGTGGTATCGCTTCAGGATTTAACGCCACTAAGGTGATGGGATCTACACCATCAATCAGACTCAATGATCCACTTCGGGATAAGGTGGTTCCCTCTTGGACACGCACCCCGTGCCCCCTCTCCAGTGTACACCTCGTGACTCCTCTCCGGTAGTCACGTAACCATGAAATTCGTGAGCATACAAATCCCCATATACTCATTTCAACATATGTGTATCATCACAGCATATCATATGTAATAATTTATCCCATGCATCAAATTTTTGCACAACTACATTTATATAACATTTACTCACCTTCACAACTAGTCACCTTCAAAATAAACACATAAGGAAATACGGGACAAATATATATATATATATATATATATATATATATATATATATATATATATATATATATATATATATATATATATATATATATATATATATATATATATAATATATTTTTATTAGTGAGAAAAGTATATAAAAATAGAGAGATATCCTTACGGTCACAACAGTCGTGAGAATTGATGTTTTGTTGAAGTTGGTCGGTCGATCGAGCACTTTTATCCTAAAATACTAAATTAGAACGAACTAATATAGAATGATCTCGTACGTTATAAACTCCATAGTCATCCGATTTATTATTCTATTTAATAATTAATTTTATTAATCAAAGTCTAACTTATAATATATACCATATTTACCTCTTAACTTTTATATCAAACGTTCAAAATCAAAAACAAATTAAATTAAAATGAAGTTTTAAGTTCTAAACTATATCTGGTTTAGTATAATTTTAATGACCCAATAACAATGTATAATTGTCATCTAAATATGTTCACTTTTCACTTTAATTTACAAATATATACTATAGTTAATATCTTGATATTTTGTGGCACTAAAATAATTAAATAATTAAATAGGTCCCTTTTTCTTTGAAAATTTTCAAAATACCGTTAATGTCTCTAAAAGTAAAAATTAATATATCTAGTATAGTAACATATAGCAACAGTGTAGAAAATAAATTTAAAATTTGTAAAATTTTATAACATAGTTTTATAAAATATATAACTTAGTTTTTATTTTTGCTGATTATCAAAGGAACAAAACTGCTTAACACCTACGAATACACAAACAATTTTGTATTTCCAACTTAGAAAGATGATCAATGATTAAAACTAAAGGCAACAAGAGATACAAATTTTATGTTTCAGCACTTGTCGGACATTTTGACAAACACCTATTTTTTATCCATTTATTAAACTAACTCCAACAAAATGACTTATTTTATATTAATAAATAGATCTAGAGTAAAATAGTATTGGATAAAGTACAAATTCTTGAGTAGGAAAACAATATTCGGGAACAAAAACAAAATAGATAGTATAATGTTTCATTAGAACAAGAAAAGTGATATTTCCTTCAAGTATATAAAACATCAGCTACAAGACTAGAATTATATTTAATAATTAGAAGTCGTCCTGTTAAGACCTCACTAGTTAACTTTGAAAACCACTTGCATGTAATTTATATAAAAGACAAAGTTTTAGAGAAGAGACTGTTTTTTTTTTACTTGAGTCAAAAGTAATTGTGGAGGTTATGTAGTGTACTACCTAAGTGAAATATGTGTGAGTGAAGCATGTCTGAGCAAAGTATGTCTTAAATGCTAACTTGATAGATAACATCTTATCAGAATGACTTTACTACACGTTATTACCATCATTAGTTACTATATTTTTTTAATCTTGCCGACATCTTCTCACAATTACCAATCACATCTCAACCTACTACATATCTCTCACATATCCTTCTAAATGATAGTTTAATTTTCTCTTCGTATTAGTGCACTTTTCAGTGTTACGTGACATTAATAAAAATGTCCGAAATAAATTTGTTTTTTGATAATAAAACTTTTTTTTTTGTTTATTCTATACTGTAATATAAATAAATATCGGTAGAGAAAAATAATATTATTATTATTATTATCATCTTTTCATTGAAAATGATTTTATGATTCTATTAATAAAATTTTATTATGAATAAAGACTGTTTTAAAATTTTAAGTGGATAAAATTATTATTTATTAGATAGATCTAAAATTAATTTAGACAACAAATATTTTCAAAAAATTAAAACGATTAATTTTACTAAATATTAAAGAGACTTAATCGAGATTTAAAAAAAAAATTCTATCATGAATCATTAATAAAATAAAAATCCTAAAATATTTTTAGCACAACTTAAATTTACTAATATAGATATTATTTAATTTACTAATATAGATATTATTTAATTTTATATCCAATTATAATATGTTATAGACGTTAGAATAAACTATAATCTTAAAATATTTATTTATTTTAAAATTACGGTCTTACCGTAAATAAAAAGTGTATTTGGTTTTGGTAGGGTTCAAATTGTGTTTGTGACTCTCAAGCTTCTTTCCAACGAAGTCTCTTCCTCCTCTAAACTCAGTGTGCCGCTCAAGCACTTCTTCTTCATTTGCTCAAACGAACTACGCCGCCGTTCATCTCTACTTCGTCTCGCCGTCGCAAATCTTTCGTCATTCACATCTCTGCCTCTCTTCATAATTTCCTCACCTTCCATACTCAACTTCTCCGATCTCCATGCTTACCGCCATCGTTCAAAGTCCGGCTACAACCTCTCTTGTTTCTCTCAGCATTCGCAGTTTTTACCTTATTCGCACTCAGTCTTCGTTACAAACTCTAAATTTGACCCTAACGCGCCTAACACTCAGATTAAGCGGCAACGACAACATTTCTCGATCTGAAAACACGCTATAGTATGGATTATGAAGCGAGAAGGATGAAAAATGAAAGGATTCATTACTTACCGACCGGAGACACTCCGGTGGTTCTTCTACGAAGGCGTAATCAAGAAGAAAACCAGATATCTTCAGATGATAATTCTTGTGCTCTCGTTTTCTACTACGAAATTGTCTCCCTCTTCCAGTCCATTTCTTCTTCTCTTAATTCTTCTGCGTCTCTGTGCTGTTTGTGTTTGTTGCGAGTTGTGATGCGTGAATGATAAAGATGTTGCTGAAGTTGCTCTGTGATGTGAGATGTTGTTGTTGTGCTTGATGTGTTGATGCAGTTCTCATGCGATGCGGGTTTGTTGTTATGCATGAAGCAAAGGGAATCGATTGTTATTGCAGAAAGAAGATGCGATGAATTTGTGTTGTTGATGTTTAAGAATCGATGAAGATGGAAGCAGATAAAGATGGAGATGATGTTGTGCAGAGAGAACTGAGATGAAGTTTGAGATGAAGATTCCAGAGAGAGTTAGAAGAATTCCTGTAGAATGATTGTGGTGAATGAATCATGAAAGAGAAGGATCTTATATAGGTTGTTGGAGATGAGAATGTTAGTTAGAGATGGAGGAAATCACAACCTTTGGATTGACTGGGTTTGTTACAGATTAATGGTGAGATTTGATTATGTTATGCTAGGTTTATGCTGACCTGTTCAATCTGTTATGAAGTTAATTCTTTTCTGTTTTAATAATTTTCTCTTCTATTTTAATCCCTAGAAACTGAACTTATGTTATGGATAATTGCTTTTCTTTTTTGATATGGTTTTTAATGGATGCAGGGCATATTGTTTGGCATCGATTTTATAAGCATAAATTGGTTTTGTTGTTTGCAGCAGGAATATGTTTATGGATTTTTGTTTGGCAGCAAGTTATGTTTGATGCAGGGTCGATTTGGATGAGTTACTTGGCATGGATATTTGGATCAAGTTTGGATATTTGCAAGGAGTTGAATTGGAGATTGGCATAGCATGAAGATTGCAAGGCTGAATCAAGGCTGGTTTTTGTGATGGAGCAGCTTGATGCAAAAGATGGAAAGCTTCTTGGCAACACCAACTTGAAGGCATAGTAATGAATTTTCTTATTTTCAAAGCAAGTTCATTCCTTCAAGTTGCATCTTCTTTTTCTTTGATTTTAGAATGGCATTGATGATGATGTAATGAATCTTGAAACATGGCTTTGGCTAATCTTTGCTAATACCTTTGACATAACTTTGTATGTATTTCTTTGCCTTTCAAGTATCTTGATGCATTAATGGGATCTCAACTTTTATAAAGAGCACTGCATCCATGTCATAAACTAAGAAAAAAGGGATTGTTCTCGTTGAAGTGCGGACGGACGTTCGGTATTCATGCAGAGCAAAAATGAGCATCTCATGACAGTTCTGGTAGGTTACAACCATCTTCTGCAGAATTTTCTTGTTCAAAAATTTAACTCGTATCTACCTTTTCAGTTGAAGCTTCGAAGGTCAACAATGGTGAAATCGAGTTGAAGGTTGCAGTGGGTTTTAAGCTTTAACAATGCTTCAGTTAGCTTTAGATGGTGCCAATTAGTGATTTTGGACAGAGATTTGAGTTAAAATAAATTTAAAATGGATATGGTTTTTTGAGCTTTTCGTGAGTGAAAATGACAGAGGTTCTGTGTGTCTAAGCTTGCAAATGAAGGAAAAACGATCCTCTATTTATAAGAAGTGAATTGAGGTCATGGTACGTGCGAATTCAGATCTAGAACGTATGAACCAAGTTGGTCAATTTCATTTTGCAATCTGTGTGGGACTGACAGTGAAATGTGTGATCTTGGCATGAAACCTTATCGTTTTGCACTCCACTCTACGCATTTTGCAACAAACAAGTTTGTTATGTGTTGGTGGTCCCAAGTGAAGATTTGATGATTTTAGGTTTTAGGTCAATCGTGAAATGCAGAGTCCACGTCACCATATTTGAACTTAGGCCAAATGAGCTTCCTTTGCGCGTTTTGAGATGTTCTTTGTGCCAAATGATCTCCTCATGATGAAGAATCAAATACAAAAAGAATCACATCAAAAGGATGCTTGAGTTGAAAATGGCATGGATGACAAGTTTAGGTTAAAACTTGATTTTTGGATCAGGCAATAGGTCGAACCGGTTTTGGACCACAACTTTTGTGTGCACATGGACATCTTGGCCAATTCCAAAATTGAGGTATTTAGAGGCAAAATTGATGTTTGACCCTTGAAATAAAGTTGTAAAGGAGTTCAAATGTGACATTTAGCTCGAAATAGATTTAAAAAATATTGAGAAATGAGAGAGTTATGGTGTTTGGACCAAGTGACACGCCATACTTGATTTTAGGTCAACCAAACATGTACCAATTTGTGACTTTTCGCTATTTTATTGCATTCAAAGGCTCAATGATGAACACTTGAACACCAAGTAAAAAAATCTTGATTGTCCCTTGAATAATCTTGATAATTGCTTGAGAATTGGATCTATATAGAAATAAACACATGAATCATACTTGAATCAAGTTTGAAATCATGCACCAAATTTGAACTTTCCTTCATCAAATGATGTTGAATGAAACTTGACATGAATATGATATAAGATTATAGGTCATACCTTGAAGTAAAAGCTCTTGTGGACCACTTGTTGACCAAAACTTTGACCTTGGGAACCAAAACTCTAATTTAGAAAACAAGTTTAATCTTTTCATCGCAAATCTCTATCTTGTACAATAAGAAAAGAAAATAACACGTATTTTTATATTTTGAATAAGATTAGCAAAGTTAATATATAAACACGCAATAGATGCGAAAAGAAACACAAAGGGTGTTTGGTGATCTCCTACAAAGGTTAAACAAAAGGGATAAAGGTTATGAGGATGACATGCTTGTGATCTTTGGTTAGATGTAAATGATATGATGGGTGGAATCTTAGGGGTAAAAATTAGGGTATGACACATCCCTATCATAAGGCAAAGGGGGGATGACATTAGCTTGCTCGTGCTAACGAGCCCTCTCGCAACGAGCAGATCCATTTAGGGTTGGGTCGTCCGAGTCTCGATCTTTCTTGATTTTCAGCCATAGCCCTGAAAAAAAATATAACAAATCATGAGGGAGGAATAAAAGGGTTCGAATATGCATCTCTGAAAACCTGAAATAGAACAGTCAGAGATGCATATCTGAAACAAATATTCGTTTTGCTTCAATGGCAGATACATTTCTGCAATGCTGTATCCATTCAAACTCATCCAAAATCAAATGCATTAAAACTAACATATTTAAGCTAATACGTTAATCAAAAATCAAAATAAACTAAATGAAAAACTTATTTAAAAATGTGTTGATTAGGGTATAAAGTGTTATGTTGTTGAATGCAATAGTTAAAAGGAGTTATTAATGGTATGAAACAAGTAAATGTTGTTTCAAATCTTAACCTTGAGTGAGAAATTGAAATGTGTATAATGAGATAAAGAGAAAGTGAGTTTCTGAAAAATGAAGGAGAAGAAAGAGAGTATGACGCAAACTTTAAATAAACTCATCTACTTCAGAGATGTATCTCCAAACTAATTTTTTTAAATTAAAAAAAAAAAGTATTCAAATATGTATCTCCAAACACATCCTTAAAATGACTTCGATTGTACATCTTTGAATTTTATTTGAAAAATAAAATAAAATTTAGTGCATCCAAATATGTATCTCCAAAAAGAGACATTTTAAGAATTTCGCACATGACCTAAAAAAATGTATAAGAATGTAAAAAAAATTGTCATAATTTTTTGAGTTTGGTAGGCCGCCCATATAGGCTATCCAGTTTAACAGCTGTACCCATAACAACACCTCTTCAAGCGTAAAAAAAATCTAAAAAGAAATGTAAAAACATTAGATCTTACTCATAATTTTGCAGTAGTAAAATTATGAATATAAATTAATTTTGCAGTAGAAAAATTCTACAAAAAGAAATGTAAACATTAGATATCAACAAACTTTTAATTATAAATTAACAATTTATAATATCAATTGATCTTAAACATAATTTTGCAGTAGTAAATACACGGACAAAATCTACAGGTAAATTAGTAATTTCAACATCAACTATATCCATACTTAAACTAAATAATAATAATAAATGTTGAAATATTATGTTTCAAATAGTTTAGGAAAGCTGCAGAGATTTTGGCGTTCAGGATGTTTCTAAAAATGTGGAAAAAATTGTGCATTTTAAAAAATTATGTTACGAATATCATTTATATATATTAATGAGAAATATGCATCAATTCTGTCAATAATTTAATCTCCGCAGAAGAAGCTAGTTAATAACCTCCCATCCTAGCCACTAATTTTCTTATCCACAAGGTTCAATACAAATTAAACAAAATACTAAAAGAATAATTATAGGATTCATACATTATTACAATTAAAAAATAACAAATTATCTTAATCTAATCTGCATTAACAATGCCTGTCGGATCAGACAAAAGCCTCCTAGATGTACAAAAGCTTACCACATTATAGGATATCAACGCAAATCTTCAGCAAATATTGTATCTATCAAAAATTGAACTGCAGCCAAAATTCACCACAAAAAACGGGTTTAGTACAACTATTACACTGCAGCTTGAACTTTGTTCAAAATAACAATTATACAGCAGTTTCAATTATATTCACCAAGTGAAACTATCTCAAAAGTTTTCTTATCTCTAATAATCAAGACATCATCTCTACCATACCAGAATTATTGCATACCTTCCTCAGTTACGATATTTGGTTGATCAACCAAGAGTTGCTGTAGGGCACCAAGATCACTAGCACTGCTGTAGTTAATGCAAAGCGAAGAGAGTCAAAGCCCATAATATAGTGGATCCCTTAGTTTATGCATAAGACTAAACATTTGAAGGTTGATCAACCACAAGGTACATCAGAATTGGAATAAAGAACAAATTTGATTACCTCACCGCAAGAAGCAAGCTCAGAGGTGGGAAGACTGTCAACGAAAACTATAAGGAGTATTTTGGGTATAATAAATCTAGCCAGTATGTGGATACTTACAATTTCACATAGTAACAATTTAGCCATACTTACAATTTCAGCATGCAATATAAGACATCTATGGGTAGCCCAACATCAAATATGTAACAGGATGTAATGCAATATTAGAATTAAGAACAGACTAATTGGAATCGAGAATAAATTGTGCCTAAATCAACCCCAAACACACCCCTCCTTGAGTGAGACTGGACTG